CGAGCTCATGAGCTGCGATAACTGCTGTGGCTGCAGCACCGATATCCTCTACGATACTGGCTGAATCGCCTTTTTTACAGATGTTGCCGACATAAGCCATACCTTGGGTGTATGAATCACCTCGAGGTGACAACAGATCGAACCTGTAGAGGAAATCATATTTCCTGATAATAGTAAAATGTAATTTGAAGTATTTAAAAACAGCGACAGCTAGTGAGCTTGGCTGACTTCGTTCCGTCTTGCTTAGGTACGACACTGCGAGCATAGTTTGAAAAAGTTTCCATCCTCAAGAAACAGCGGTTGACGTTTTTTAGAGAACCAGTTAACTACTTTCGTATTTGTGAGTACTTGATTCGCTTGAAGATCAGCGATGCCGTTGCTTACGCCAAGGAATCGAATATCGGGAGGGTTGGGCACGTCATGCAACTTTGGCCAGGGCGGTTCCTGACTGGATCCCACGGGACGTCAAACGAACATCAGGATGGCCACCGAAGCGATGGTCAGACTTCTTCATGAAAGCTCTGAACGAAAGCAATGTTTTGCGCCGTGTCCCTCGAACGAGTACGATTCACTAGACTGCTCTGGCTCGCGACAGGGAGGAATGGAGACGTACTGGCGCCCGCGTGAGGAAATCACTTATCAACGGAACGACAGGTGATGCAGGTGAGACAGGTTAGTTACGATTCGTTGCGTTTATCAAAATTTGATAGGAAAATTATTCAGCCATCATATGGTACCTACTTCGTTATAAGAATTGCATGATCATGTTTGGGCAAATATTGATCGTGGGTCCTCAGCCAAGTTGTGAATTTGTCCAATGCTTCAACAGCTGGGATACTCAAAGTCAACCTAGAAAATAAAAACTTTAAAGAGGAACACGAAGTGCTTTAGTTTGATTTACTTTTAGAATGATAGTTGTTTTGAGTTTTATAGTAGGGGTGTAAACATGAATAGTCTACAATAACATTTACATGAATTTAGGAATTTAAAAAGAAGATCGGTCCCCCTCTGGCCTACAAGTGGGTCCATATCTTGTAGATTGAGTACCCCGAAAGTACGAAAAAAGTCAGTAGCCGCTGAAATCCTTACTCTACCACACCTGGGTGTGGTATTTTTTCCCCGAAAATCGTGTCGCGCCCGCCGCACCCGACCGCGCTCAGTAACGCGCTATGAAGGGAAGGTTGAATTACTGGTGGAAGGATACGGTAGACACCAATGAACTACTGCCGCTTGTTGTGGATTTCGGTAGTAGTATCGACACCCACCACTCCTCACTCTCCCACTCCGAAAATCTATAAGATTTTTTAATCGATACTGAAATTGTAAATTTTATGTTTTTATCGAAATGTTTGTATGAAAAACAAAGAAACTTACCTACTCTGTGCTATTTGTCTCTTCGAAACCTTCCCCAATTGTAGAATTATCTAAAGTTGAATTGTAATTAAGTGCATCTTGAGATTCCTCCAGAGCATACAGAATAGGGCAATCATCTTCTCTAAAATAATTACTTTTATATTGCAAATAAACAAACGACAAAAGCTGGTTATTACTGAGAAGGACATAATTTTTGAGAGAGGTATTGAATTTAAGGTAAGAAGGTGCTAAAGCTAAAGCTCGTGGGGGAAAAGCCCCTCTGGTCATTCAGCATTTCTCACTCGCTGGCCGTCCTCTTCCAGCCTGACCCTTGTTTACTGGTAACTCCAGGTCCCCAGTTAAAGGACAGTGTAACGATTTCGCAACTTTTGTTGGAGAGACCGACTTTTCCCACGCTTTGTTTACTACTGGGGCCTAGTAGCGTCCCGAATTTTACACATGAAAAGTGGTCCTTCTGCCGTGGTTCCACTGGAAAGTTTCGACACATTGGATCACAGACTTGTTATTTTGCCCATCCTACAATCGCCTGCCTACTCGTGCCTACCCCGATCCCGATCGTATTAATGTGAAAGTGCTAATGAAGCTAGATTTCGAAGAATAACGGTCGCAGTCATGGGGTGAGCGTAATGAACTCGCGAATTGCCCCTGTACTGTTAAGCATTTTCAGCTTTTGAGAAGAAAAAAAGCATTTTCAAAAGAAAAATTGAATATGCAGCTCACATTTCGATAGAATTCAGATGGAAGCGATAAAATCAATCGATATTGACTGACCTTAGAGCTACAAACGTTCCAACCATATGTAAATGAATAGTTTTTTCAGAGATTTTGACATCGTTATAGATTGTCTTCACCTGCAAATGGAAAATTTCCACGATAATTTTATAGCCGGAGTCACATCATTCAAAAAGTGGGAAACTACCTATCGATGTAGAAATAGGGTGGATTAAGGGTTAAGGAGGAAGAAGGCACGAGCTTTGGGCTCACAAATGATTCCAAATTAATACATCTAGTGGCTACAGAGCAGAATCTAATGAGCATAGTCAAGCGGAGAAGTCGGCAAAATGGAAGCTGGTCTGGAGTCCAGTGATCAAGTTCAACATATAGTTTCCATAATGGGCCCCATAATTGCTTGAATTCATTGAGAGCTTACCCAGCTGCTGTTAAACATAGCAGACCAGTGGCACAATGTCGAAGAATGGACTTGAAGGAAGTCATAGAGAAGCCTACAATGTTCACCCTCCATAGAAGTAGGGA